GCGGGCGCCATCTTCCCCCTCAGCCCCCGTGCTCCTGGGCACCGGGACGGGTTACAGAATCTCGGAGTTCTTGGCTTTTAGAATCGTCAGTGTTGGAAAAGATCTTAAGGATCATCCAGTCCGACCGTCAACGCAGCAGTACCACGAAACCGCATCACCCACCGCCAGATGCGGGTGGCTCTTTCAACACCTCCAGGTGTGGTACTCCAGCACCTCCCTGGGTACCGGTGCCAATGCCTGGCCACACGGACAATAAAAAGATTTTTCTGATATCTAACCCGAGTCTCCCACGTGTTAGCTTCCAAGACCAGCCCCCTCCTCACTACAGCATCATTTCAGGGAGTTGAAGACGATAAGGGCCCTGAGCATCCTCCAGAGTAAACAAACCCAGCTCAGCCATCCCTTATAAAAATAAATTTCCTAGATCCATCATCAGCTTTTTTGACCTTTGCAACAAAAAGGGAAGTACAGATCTGAATCCACAGGTGGGAGGATGGGGGGACCCCACCACCACAATTCAGCTGCACCCCCACCAAAAATTACCCCCGGTGTAAAATCCATGTGGAATAATGCAATGATATCCGCGGGGTGCTATAATTTTGGAGCTCCCACATCTGCATCCCCACCAGAGAGGGATGGGAGGGCAGCTCCATCCCCACCGGACACCGAGCTACCATCTGGCCTTTGCCATCGGCAGTGTTTATGGAAAAAGAGGCATTTCTGCAAAGGAAATTAAGAACAGAAACTATCAGTGGCCTCTCAGTTCCTTGTCAAAAGCGCACATGATTTTTCCAGAGTCCTCTCAGGACTCTCCTTGCCACATGCATCAGTTGAACTGCACAAAGATTCTTTTGACATCTGAAATGAGGCTCTTATTTCAGTCACCCTGCTTAAAAAGAAAAAAAGCTTTATCCCAAGACACCCATGACAAAACTGCTTTGAGGAAGTTGCAGTCATCCCACACAGACACACATCCCTCCTTTAAATACAAAACCCAAACACCATGTTTTTTCCCCAGACTGCGCAGTTAGAACCTGTTTTAAATTACGCTTCTCAGTACGCCCAAGTTGAGCGGCATTTTGTGGATCAGAATTCTAGCATTTAGCATAAAACTACAAAGGTACTTTGTAAACCAGGACACCACTGCAGCTTTTCTCACAAAAAGCAATTAAATTTGCTTATTCCTGGGCTGCAGGGTGCACTTGAGCAAGGCTGATCATCCCATCAGATATTTCTGCCCACGCTGGCCTTAACATAAAAAAGGAGGAAAAGCCACAGGCAAGCTCACCAAATATGACTGCGAAGGGACAACATTAAATTCATAGTTTGAAACTGTGTTTCTGCCACTACAAGCTGTGTTTTCCACTTTAAATATTCACAGGCCAGTGTTTTCCCCAGATTTCACATTTGTTTCTTGCTTCATGCATTCCAAGATTTGGTAGTTCCCTTTTTTGATTGTTTTTTTCAACAGAGTCGGAGCTGGAGAAGGAGAAGCCATTTAATGTGGAGTTGTGGAACAGATGTTGAGCACTCCACTGGCAGGCTCACAAAGCCAGGACATCTGTTAGAAATATGTGAGCAGAGAGGCCATCAGTCCTCTTAGATGCTGCAGTGATCCTCTGCCTTTCCTACACCCCCTTTCAAATTACACTGAGGCGTAAGGGAATAGTCCCATCCCTCACCACCCCCATCATTCCCAGCCCATGTTTTTCTGCTTCCGGGCTGGTGCTTCCACACAGTCGATTCAGGATCACTGACCCAAGCAGGTTCTTTTTTTGTTTCAGGGTTTTCAGGACAAAAGGAAGGGGGGTGAGCTTTTTGTTGGCCTCTTCACAGAGCAGCAGAGATTTCTCTCAGCATCATTCTCCCTGGCAGGATCCTGCTACAGGCTGGTGTGGCACAGCAGTTTAATGCAGAACAACCAGAAACAACACATGGTGAAGCACTGAACCATAATGCCATTAGCAGCCTTCCCCAGAAGCATTTTTCAGTACCCCAGGGCACTCAGAATTTGCTGACTGTTTGATTTGTGCTGCCCCAAATTCCTGACATTGCTTAAGCAAACCACAGGACCAGGAACTCAGTGATCCTGTCTTCTGATCCTTTTTTTATAAGGCTACTGCCTTTGTTTTTTCTTGGAGAAAAAAAGATCCATTTCTTTCCCACCTCTGTCTTCCTGATCAGAGGAACACCAGTTTAAATCTCAGCTCCCAAGGGAGAGGGATTTGTTAATTTGACAATACTCTATTCAAACACTAAGAGTTCAACAAACACTTGCTCCAAGATGAGCACATGGATTTTGTTTCATTTGCAGTGATTCAATCAGCAGCCATCCAAGGAATTCTGAAAATTTGCTGGGTGTGAACACACTGGCTCACAGAGGTTTGTTGTTCTTGATCCAGATGTGACCCTGGCAAGCAGAGATGTGCAAAAAAAACTCCCCCACACCACACCTGGTCCAGCCAAGGTGAAGGGCACTGCTCATCCTGCTCTGGGCTGACTGACAGCCTGCATCCATCACCTGAGAGAAGATAAATGCTGCTGTCACCCCAGCTCCTGAGCTCCATCCATCACTGCTCAACCAGGCTGGCTTTTGTTTGTTTGTCTGGAGTTGTTTCTGTTAAAAAAAAAAAAAAAAAAGAAAGAAAAAAAAAAGAAAAAATACCAAGGATATTAGAGCTCACCTATCGGACCAGCTGGCAGTGAGAACTATCAGACATGATGCACCAGAGAAACACTCTGATTTCATCCTGACAGAGCCCTGT